CAGGCACCAGATTATAGGTGATGTTTAATTATTTCCTTTAAAGATTGATTTTGTATTTTAAAAAATTACATGCTGCTGATTTAGAGAAGGATATTAACTCACTGGAATAGAATCACAAAAATCCATTTGTTTTTTCAGTTTCTGCTGCTACTTGGGTTAACTCCTTTCCCCCCCCGCCCCACTTGATAGCAGATTCCCTTCACGGCATCATAGTTGAATTCCATAACTTTTTGGTCCCTTTAGGTTATTCTGTCAGTCCGGTTTCCTCTCAGACTCTGTGTTGTTTTTGAAATTGTTAATTTCACGGTCATTCCAAAGTCCTCTTCCACCATCCCCCAGCTCTTCCCCCAACTACAGGGGCCAAAGTCAACAACAGCGGCTTAGAACAGGGAGGGTGGTACACACCAAGCTGCTGTTGGGGCCCTGGGGAGGGAGAGGGTTGGAGCGTCTCCTTCCTGGCTGTCCAGTGGGAAGCTTGCTTCTTTCTGTTGGCTGCTGTTTCCTCTCTAACACTCAGTAGCCAGAAGCCATTGGTTCTGCCTGAATGTCAAGTTTCCAAAGGAATGTTGGTTACTTGAGGGAGGGTACCTGTTGGTGTTTCAGGGAGCCCTAGGCAGCCCTGCCCCCTGCACGTTTCCCTGGGTTCAACTCCTAGTTGTGATGTGTCCCTCATCTTCCTCCCAGTAGCCACTCCAGACTGTCTAGCCATCCCATCTTGTCTATGGGGCCGCCATACCAAGTTTCAAGCTGTCTGGAGCTCTATCCTTCACGCCTGGTCAGGAAACACACAGGTTTGCCACGTGAAATGAGGAGGGTCACTGGTTCCCTACTGGCATATACCCTTCTGCCCTCTGTAGCGCTGGCAGGAGGCATCTTCTTGTCCCCTTTTGACCAAGATGATCTCCAGTCCCCAACTTAGTGGAGGGAAAGAAGGCTCAGGCACTTTCCTGAACCCCCTGGATTCTCCTAGTTGTTCTCCCTCTTAGCGTTGTGGAGAACAGGCTAGAGCCCATTTTCACGAACTGACACTCCTTCAAAATGCCACCTCCTCTCCCTGTCGCCTCCTTTCCTGTTGCCGTTGTGTGTGAGGAGTGGGTGGGTGGTACTCTCTTTACTGAATGGCATCCTTCTACACGCCCTGAAGGAATGGGGCTGAACACAGAGCCGGTGGTCCTAGCAAGTGAGAAGGTGGGGTATCTCGTAACAGCTGTTTTCAGCCATGGACCTGAGTAGCCAATTGCAATAGGTGGCAACTGACAACACCGTGTTACTGTTATGACCACCCTTCAGAGATACGCGTATCCCCTCCCACAATTTGGTTCGGATGTCAGAACTGATGATACCACACATTCACCAAGAAGGTATGAAAAGTTTTATTACTTAGGGGTTTGAGGTCTCTGGGGGAGAGCAGAGCGGTACGCTTAAGTAGACCCCAAATAACTTCAGAGATGGAGGAAGGGCGCCAGGCCTGGGTTTTTAGGGCAGTTAAGGAATGGGGCCAGGGTGAGAGTTCTCAGGCAGGGGCTGGGGCTAGCTGGGTTTCACTCTCCTGCTGGCGCCAAGGAGGCTTTCTTATCAGTTTCCCCAGATGTGGGGTACAAGGGGTAGAGGGAGGGGTGGAGTTTAAAAATTGTCAGTTGTTGAACATAAAAAACGGGGCCCACAAGCACGTGAAAAGATGCTCAACATCACTAATTATTAGAGAAATGAAATCAAAACCACAGTGAGGTATCACTTCACTCTGGTCAGAATGGCCATCATCAAAAAGTCTATGAATAATAAATGCTGGAGAGGGTGTGGAGAAAAGGGAACCCTCCTCCACTGTTGGTGGGAATGTAAATTGGTGCAGCCACTAAGGAGAACAGTATGGAGGTTCCTCAAAAAACTAAAAACAGAGTTGCCATATGATTCAGCAATCCCACGCCTGGGCATATATCCAGACAAAACTCTTTTTCGAAAAGATACATGCATCCCAATGTTCATGGAAGCACTATTTACAATAGCCAAGACATGGAAGTGACCTAACTGTCCATCGACAGATGAATGGATAAAGAAGATGTGGTATATATCCACAATGAAGTACTACTCAGCCATAAAAAAAGAATGAAATACTGCCATTTGCAGCAACATGGGTGGACCTAGAGATTATCATACTAAGTGAAGTAAGTCAGACAGAGAAAGACAAATAACATATGATATCGCTTATATGTGGAATCTAAAATATGATACAAATGAACTTATCTACAAAACAGAAACAGACTCACAGACATAGAAAATAATCTTATGGTTACCAACGAGAAAAGGGGGGAGGGATAAATTAGGAGTTTGGGATTAACTCATACACACTACTATATATAAAATAGATAAACAACAAGGACCTACTATATAGCACAGGGAACTATATTCAATATATTGTAATAAACTGTAATAGAAAATAATCTGAAAAATAATATATATATATATATATATATATATATATATATATATATACACACACACATATATATATGAATCACTTTGGGGGAATTCCCTGGTGGTCCAGTGGTTAAGACTCTGAGCTTCCAATGCTGGGGGCCCAGCTTTAATACCTGGCCATGGAACTAGGATCCCACAAGATGCACCGCGCGGCCAAAAAAAAAACAAACCAAAAACGGAATCACTTTGCTGTATGCCTGCAACTAACACAATATTGTACATCAACTATACTTCAATTAAAGACGTTTAAAAAGAATGGGGCCAGATTCTTTCTTACAGTTACGTAGACATTAGAAAAAACTCAGACGGTACTGCTCTTCAAAGTCGTCGCTGCCGAAAGCTGGTCTGGTCCTCCAAGGAGCAGAAACCAAGACAGGATTAACTGTGCAAGGGTTTTTAGGAAAAATGCCTGCCAGGGAAAAAAACAGGGAGCAGACCAGACAAGCTGGAAGAGCCATCAGACTGTGACACAGAAGTCTGACCTTGAGTGAAGGACAGAAAGAGAGAAGGTTTGACGGAAATGTCCTAGGCTGCCATGTCATCTGCAAAAGGATCAGCAAAGTCTGGGGATGTTTCTGTGCTGAGGTTGGCCACCCCAGGAGTCCGCGCCAGTAAGGGGTCTGCCTTTGTGCCCCGGCTGCATGCGGGTCTGAGCTGGCAGGAGCCCTGGTCTTCGTGTGCACAGGTGGCTTCCCCAGCTCTGCAGCTGGGCCCCTGTCAATTGACCTTCCTATAGGTGGAAGCCTGGGAGGCAGCCTCATGGCCACCCCATACAGACACCTAGTCCAATGATTGTTTCATCGCTAAAATCATTTTGCAGCTCCTTTTCAGGGAGATGTCTTCACAGGATAGTATAGAAGCAATGAAAGGGCAGAGAGTTTCATAGCTTTTAAAAAGACCCTTTACTCTTGACCAAAACCAGCATCGGCCAGCTAGAGTACCCCTCTTAGTACTTATCGGTGTGGATTTGGCTATTACACACACACACACACACACACACACACACACAGACTCTGCACTTAAATGATAAAAGTCATCATTAACGACATCCCAAGGAATACGCCACAGTATCTGAAGGCAGTATCTGAATTAAAAGGAACAATTCCAGACACCTTTGGAACAATGGTAACATGGTAAGAATAATTGTACTGCCTTCCAAGGTGACTTCACTGAGGTGGACCATTCTTAGCATATACAGGATTTGGGGGACAATAGTGAAAATTCAAAATAGCTCTGCTTTCTACCTTCATTTCTTCTCTGTGTGTGCTCGGACAGATGGGGATGTGCAGGAATTATTCACCATAAAGCTGATGGACTCTTCCAAAGCTCTGGGCTTAGTTTTGAATTTGTACTTTTATATTCTTTTTATTTTCAAGGGGATATTCCCAAATTTTATAACTTTTAGGATCCACAACGCCTTCACCCACGCCAGGAATGTGTGTTTGTGTGTGCACATCCTGGCTGTGTTTGTGTGTATTCCTATGGCTTCCTTCCCCCCATCCTCGCACTTGGGTGCATATGGTTCTCCAGATGGGGTAATGTTCTCCTTCACACATGTTTTTAAATGTCTTTGGATTGTTTAACAAAAATAAGTTAAAGGGTAAAAGAGTAAACACCTGCTTAGACAAATCTCTGAACCAAAGTGAGGGACGGAGGAGGGACATTTTTCTTGCCCTGCCGGGGCTCAAGCTTCAAGTTTCCAATGTAGTCAAATTTGGGGGAAATGATCTTTCTTCACGCCACTAGAGGGCACCAGTGTGCAGACAATTGTCAGGTTTGGGAGGGGTGCCGAGCTCCACGGAACAAGAGGGAAGGTGACTCTCACATTCCCATAGCCACCGAGTCCCTCTCCTTTCCAAAACACCTCTTCCTACACTCAGGATGTTTCTTTCCGGATCTGAATCATCCGAGTATTTCCTCCTCGCCTACCCTTCTACGAGGCTACACACCCCCCTCCTCCAGATTCCTTGTTGTCATGACCATCATCTCTGTGGATGAAGGTTGAAGGACCCCCGGGAGCATAGAGCAGGGAGACCTACGGGTCCCGGAAAAAACACTGAAATTATTATCAGGAGACCTGGACTCAAGCCCCAGATCTGTCATTGGCTGTGTGATCTTGAGAAAATCACTTTACCTCTCTGAACCTCTGTGTGCTTATCTGCAAAATGGGAGGGAGAGTCCTCTAAAGTTCTTTGTGTTTCTGAGAAAAAGACTGGATACAGTTAAGCATCCTGCTTTGAAGGCAAAAGCCTCGTTCTTTCCCGTCATGCCGAAAACCTCTCCTTCTAAAATTCTAAAACCTGCTTCCTTAGTATTCTTTATCAACTCCTGAGGAATAAAATTCCAAATTAAGGACTTCTTTGGGTTTCCAGGCCAACATATAAGGAACTTGGACTTCAATTCTTCCACCCACACACAGGAGAAAATATGAACAAACTGAAAATCAACAACTCTTCTTAGATCAATCAGAAAACTGACATCCTAGGGCAAACTGCTACCCCCCCACCCCCAAATGGAAGAGACAGACAGGTAGACAAAGAATCACACCTTGCTGGAGCTGAAGATCAGGAGAAGAAAACTCTGCAGGAACCAGTACTGGGTTCCTTTTACCTAGTTTATCACGTCAAACTTGCAACAAAAAATAACAAAGCATACTAAGAGACAAAAAATGGAACAAAACAAAAAATGACACGGGTTGAAGAGACAGGGCAAACATCAGAACCAAACTCACATGTGGCAGAGATGTTGGAATTAGCAGACTGGGAATTTAAAATGACTATGATTCGTATTCCAAGGGCTCTAATGGAAAAAGTAGACAACATGCAAGAACAGATTGGCAGATTGGGAATGGAAGCAGTGAGATGGAAACTCCAAGAAAGAATCAAAAGGGAAGGCTAGAGATCAAAACGCCATGACAGGAATGAAGAACGCCTTTGATGGACTCATCAATAAACTGGACTCGGCCGAGGAAAGAATCAATGAGCTTGAAGGCATCAATAGAAACTTCAAAAACTGACGTTCAAAGAGGAAAAAGAATGAAAAAGATAGAACAAAATACTGAAGGGCTGTAGGACAGTAACAGAAGGTGTTATGTACGTGTATTAGGATTACCAAATTAAAGACTTCCTCTCTCATCTATTCATAACAACACCACTTACATAGCCACGTCACTCTACCCTGCAAAACCCAGAGCTGAACTAAGAAACCATGTTTTTGCTTGTAACTCCTAACATTGCCATACCTTATTAAATTATCTCTGTTTAAACAATGAAAGACTTCCCGAGGGATGTGTGAGAATTTGAGGCAGCGGAAAGGGGCTTACCTGGTTTCTCTGTCACCTCTTTGGACTCGTTAAACTGGGCTTGAAGTGACTTCCGTCTTCTCCCATCTTCTGCCCGAATCTCCTACTCCTCAAAAGACAGCTCGTTCAAACCACTGGACTGTGACCAGGGGACTGGACTGGTCACTGGATTGTGACCAGTGAGCTGATATTTCTTCATGGTATCAACTGGAAAGTCATATCCCGTTTCCAGTGGAGCTTTGTCTGGAGCTGGAGAAAAATTGGACCAGAGAGTTTGGAGTAGCATGTGGAGAGGTAACTTCCTTGCTGTCACTTCAAGGTCACAGGCTTGAGGTCTGCTGACTATACTGATTTCTCCTGTTCCATCACTTTCTCTTTATTTTAATCACCTTCATTATAAATGTCCTCATAAAAGGCCTGCCACCTTCCATCCTCGTTGCTACCCTCCCCCAGTCCCATCTGCATCCTACTTAGGATTCTTCAGTAGCATTCTTCTCGAGAGGGACATTCAAAGCCATCTATGACCTAGTGAGTGGATCTCTCGTTGCACCCCCCTGGCCTTCTCCTTTCTCACCAGCCACCATGTTCGTACAACACTGAGCTGTTTGTAGTTATCACAACCCAAGTCATTTTACTTCCTTGTCCTTACGTATGCTGCTCCCTCTGCTAGAAAGATTTCTCCCCACTCTTGGGCTACATGCTCTAAGATTCAGCTCAAGTGCCCCCTCCACCAGGAAGTCTTCCCTGAGAAGCCAGTCCAGGTTTCATGCCTCTCCTAGTTTCTCCCCCATAACACAGGCAGACCTCTGCTATGCCACTTCCCTGGACTACCATCGCTTTCCTAGTCACCTTCAAGTGCCTGGGGGGCAAGAATTGTGTCCCTTTCTCTAAGCTTATTATCTAGTACAATATATGGAACACGGTTTGTTACATGAATAAAAGTATGAAATAGTTGACAGAATGTAAAACTCTCAAAAATATGTTGTGAAAAGAAGGTGAATGTGGATCATGAGGGAGAAGAAAAGAAAAAGAAGAAAAGTAAAGCAGAAAAGAAAGTAGGCAGGAAAGTTCTGTGTACTGTTTTAAACATAATAATTGGAGGAATTAACATTTCAGTCCTGGTTCAGACTGTTAAGGAAATACAGTTTAAGAAATGCTTTTTGAAATGCATTTTTGAAAAACCTTAAAGATAAGAATCAGTAGAGCTTAAAACGAAATACATCTTTCAAAACGCTAAATCCACTTGTCAAGCCAGAAAGCAAAGAAAACATAAAAAGGTGGAAAGCACAGAAAAAGATGACAGAACAAAGATCAAACATAGGAGTTGTATCAATAAAAGCAAATGGATCAAGCTTTTCTATTAAAAGACAAAACCAATGGGGTCAAAACCCCAAACCTGAGTATGTACTGTCTACAATTTACATACCTAAAATAAAATGATCCAAACAGACTAAGATAAAAGCATGGGAAAAGACATGGCTGAAATATTAAAAAGGAAAAATATGGAAAATGGAAGTTACCATATTAATAGAAGACAAAGTAAAAAAATCTAAGGTAAAAGACATTATGGGAGACAAAGTTTTTTGTTTTACTTTTTAATTTATTTAATGTTTTAATCAAAAAAAGTTAAGCATGGGCACAGTCTAAATTTTTTTTTTACTTCTCATATAACAAATATGTCAGGTCCTTATCCCTCATCCCCATCCAACATTCTAAAGGCAATATTTTTCAGTTCTTTTGGCTGTTTCTTATATGTAAGAAACGTGTTAAAATTAATGGACATAAACAGACCTCAGTTGATCAATGATATTAGCTTCTTATATTGCCAGCAAAGGATTTTTTTATACCCATTTTACTCTGCTCTCATTCTTCTGTTGTAGTTATGTCACAATTTGGAGGTTTGTCCATATCCACTATCATATCAGTTAGGAATGTGCTTGGCTGCAAGTAACAGAAAACACACCTAGCAATGGCTTTCAGGCAGTCAAAAGCTGATGTGGTGGTTTTAAGATGTCCTTAGGGACCCAGGCTTTTTTAATTTTTCTGTTCTCCCATTTTAGGCTCATAGTTTTTGTCCTCATGGTCACAAGACAGCTGCTACACCTCCAATGTTGCACCCATGTTTCAGGGAGGGAAAAAAAAAGGAAGGAAGAAGGGAAGCCAGAGGAGAAAAAAAAAAAGTTTCCTAGGAACACTTAGCTCATGTCTCATTAGCAGGCTCTGTGTCACACACCTCCAACTGCAAGGTAATCTAACATTGCAAGAGTTTTTAGATAGGCACATTGCTGCCTGAACAAAATTGAGGTTTGGAATCAAGGAAGAAAGGAGTGTAGACACTGGCAAGGTAACCAACAGTGTGTATCACTGTTGTTTTTATTATTATCTCTATGTAAATAGTGCTAATGGCTTAACCAGTAATTGTCATAACTATTTTCTTTCTTGTACATCTTTTTGTTTTGCCTGGAGTCAGAGCTTGCCTCATTATTTTTCATTTGCTTAAGGTTGTTTTTTCCCTTCAACTTGTGGCTAACTTTTCCCATAAATACCAAAAGCTCTGTAAGATATCTCTCATGTGCTTACAGCCATCAGATAATCTATCATTTCGAACCTCTTTCAGGAGACATCACTACTTGAGACCTCCATCCTTCTGCTCCATCTCTAGGTTTGAAGCCACACTGTCAGCTGGGACATCCCTCCATCCCCTTTCCCCACTTTTCTGAGTCCTTGGTCTTTCATTTTCTTGAATTACTATCTAATTTTGTTGGAGTATATCCCTTAGTTGCTTTCTGGAAGGAAAAAAAGAGAAAAAGACGTATGCTAGTTTATATATATATTGTTTTAGACTTTTGCATTCCTACCCTGACACTTAATTGCAAATCTTGCCAATCTAGAATTCTAGGTTGGATTTCGTTTCTCTCCAATTTTTAAAGTCTTTGCCGCATTGCTCTTTTGAAGTCCAGTGCCATTCTGATCACTGATTTTTGCTTGTGCCCTGTTTCTCACCCCACCTTTCATGTTTTTAGGTTCTTCTCTTTATCTCAGTATTCTGAAATTTCACTATTGTGTGTACTGATGTATTTTATCACCCACTGTGCTGAGCATCTGGTAGGAAGTAATCTGGAACCGTTTATCCTTCAGTTCTGGGACGGTTAGTTTTATTGTTCCTTTAATAATATCTTCCCCTACATTTTCTTGATTTTTGTTTTCAGAAATTGTGACAAAATTAGGAATTGGATTCTTTCCTTTTGTCTATTTCTTTATAATTTTAAGCTAAGTTCCTGAAGAATTTTCTGCTTTGTTTTCCAAACGCTACTGAACTTTTCGTCATGGTTTTCACTTTTTTTTTTTTTTTTTTTTTTGGCGGTACGCGGGCCTCTCACTGTTGTGGCCTCTCCCGTTGCGGAGCACAGGCTCTGGACATGCAGGCCCAGCGGCCATGGCTCACGGGCCCAACCGCTCCGTGGCATGTGGGATCCTCCCAGACCGGGGCACGAACCCGTGTCCCCTGCATCGGCAGGCGGACTCTCAACCACTGCACCACCAGGGAAGCCCGGTTTTCACATTTTTAATTTCCAAAGGCTGCTTCTTCTTTGCTGATCGCTGCTCCCTGTCCCCTTTATAAACAGGTTTGTTTCATAGAGGCACAATATTTTACTATTTCTGAGGATACTAATTACAGTTTTTTTAAAGTTTAAAGAAATTAAACTTTAAAACTGCATTATTTTCACTTCTGCTGATTTTGTTTTGATTCCTCTCTTTTGTATCAGGAGCCGTCTTCGGAGGTCTCATGATTCTCTGCTGTTCATATTTAAGAGTGAAGCACTGAAAAACTAATTGAAACCTACATCCATGGAAGTTATTGATTTCACTGTATGGGAAACAAGTGGCCACCTAGCTTTTCCTTTGGGAATCGAATGTCAATGTGGGTAGGTCTTTTCTTTGGCTGTGTGTAGAAGGATTTGGTTTCTCCAGCCTCCCTCCCAGAATTCTGTGGCTGATAGGAAATGTTCTCATCATTCTATGAACAGACTTTGAAACCTTATTCCCCTATGTTCGGACCACCATCTCACCTGGCCCTACTCTATGGTCAATGTATCTGAGTTTAAAGGCTCTCAGGTGCAATTTTTGAAAAAGTATTTTTCTCTTGCTTTATACTGGGGATAATTGCTGACTATATAGGATAGTGGTAGGCAGGGTAGGGGACATTGGATCTAATTGCTTCTTGTAAAGACTTTCAAATAACCCTCTGGTTGTCAACGTTACCTCACCCCTGGTTTCTTTGGTACTTGCCTTCTCTAATTCCGAAGGTTTTCCAGCTCTCAGCCAGGCAATATTTCCTGCTTCTCACCAGTTTCTCCTCTGCCATAAGTGGGATAAACCTTTCTCTCATTGCTAAGCCATTTACAAGTCATCCATTCATGCTCCCTTTTCATGTAACAATATTGTTTGGGGTTGTACAAGTCTTCTGCTTTCATCAAAGATGGAATTTGGGTTTCAGTTTCTCCTTGTTGTTTGGAATGATTTTGAAAAGAAATGAAAACGAAGCCACCTTTTCTCTATGATTTTAAAACTGGAAGCCTTATTTTGTTTTGACAAAAGTTACAACTCACAGAGAATGTGTCGCTGATAGCAAACTTTTATCTGGGCAAAATGCTGCATCAAAATAAGTAAAAACAAAATATTTGCTATTCATGGAGAAATTGACAGAATTAGAATGGTGGTGAGGAAGGTATTATACTTCTTTAAATCTTCAACAGATCAAAAGGCAAAAATAGGGAGGTTGAAGATCTGAATAATGTAATTAATTCATTTGATTTAAAAGATATGTTTCACGAAAGATCCTGAATAGCCAAAGCAATCTTGAGAAAGAAAAATGGAGCTGGAGGAATCAGGCTCCCACACTTCAGACTATACTACAAAGCTACAGTAATCAAGACAGTATGGTACTGGCACAAAAACAGAAATATAGATCAATGGAACAGAGTAGAAAGCCCAGAGATAAACCCACGCACATATGGTCACCTTATCTTTGATAAAGGAGGCAAGAATATACAATGGAGAAAAGACAGCCTCTTCAATAAGTGGTGCTGGGAAAACTGGACAGCTACATGTAAAAGAATGAAATTAGAACACTCCCTAACACCATACACAAAAATAAGCTCAAAATGGATGAAAGAGCTAAATGTAAGGCTAGACACTGTAACACTCATAGAGGAAAACATAGGCAGAACACTCTATGACATAAACCACAGCAAGTCTTTTTTGACCCACCTCCTAGAGAAATGGAAATAAAAACAAAAATAAAAAGTGGCACCTAATGAAACTTAAAAGTTTTGCATAGCAAAGGAAACCATAAACAAGACAAAAAGACAACCCTCAGAATGGGAGAAAATATTTGCAAGTGAAGCAACTGACAAAGGATTAACCTGCAAAATTTACAAGCAGCTCATGCAACTCAATATCAAAAAACAAACAACCCAATCCAAAAATGGGCAGAAGACCTAAACAGACATTTCTCCAAAGAAGATATACAGATCACCAACAAACACATGAAAGAATGCTCAACATCACTAATAATTAGAGAAATGCAAATCAAAACTACAATGAGGTTTCACCTCACACCAGTCAGAATGGCCATCATCAAAAAATCTACAAACAATAAATGCTGGAGAGACTGTGGAGAAAAGGGAACCCTCCTACACTGTTGGTGGGAATGTAAATTGATACAGCCACTATGGAGAACAGTATGGAGGTTCCTTAAAAAACTAAAAATAGAACTACCATATGACCCAGCAATCCCACTACTGGGCATATACCCTGAGAGAACCATAATTCAAAAAGAGACATGTACCACAATGTTCATTGCAACACTATTTACAATAGCCAGGACATGGAAGCAACCTAAGTGTCCATTGACAGATGAATGGATAAAGAAGATGTGGTATATATACACAATGGAATATTACTCAGCCATAAAAAGAAACGAAATTGAGTTATTTGTAGTGAGGTGGATGGACCTAGAGTCTGTCATACAGAGTGAAGTAAGTCAGAAAGAGAAAAACAGATACCGTATGCTAACACATATATATGGAATCTAAAAAAAAAAAAAAATGGTTCTGAAGAACCTAGGGGCAGGACAGGAATAAAGACGCAGAGGTAGGGAATGGACTTGAGGACACAGGGAGGGGGAAGGGGAAGCTGGGACGAAGTGAGAGAGTGGCATGGACATATATACACTACCAAATGTAAAATAGATAGCTAGTGGGAAGCAGCTGCATAGCACAGGGAGATCAGCTCGGTGCTTTGTGACCACCTAGAGGAGTGGGATAGGGAGGGTGGGAGGGAGACGCAAGAGGGAGGAGATATGGGGATGTATGTATGTGTATAGCTGATTCACTTTGTTGTAGGGCAGAGGCTAACACACCATTGTGAAGCAATTATACTCCAATAAAGATGGTAAAAAAAAAAAATCAAAACTGCCAGGAGTAAAAGAAAAGTAGCCAAGGGACTTCCCTGGTGGTCCAGTGTTTAAGACTTCACCTTCCAATGCAGGGGGTGTGGGTTCGATCCCTGGTTGGGGAACTAGGATCCCACATGCCTCACAGCCAAAAAAAAAAAAAAACCAAAACATAAAATAGAAGCAATATTGTAACAAATTCAATAAAGACTTTAAAAATGGTCCACATCAAAAATATCTTTAAGAAAAGTAGCCAAAAGAATAATTTCTTGATTAGATTTGGAAATGGTAACATGTATGTAGTATATAATGCATATATTTATAAAATATCTACCTACAGGCATATATATTATATATATAAAATGCATACATATATATTATATATGTGTGTTTATATAATGTGCATATGGTATGTATACATATATTAGTCTGTGTTTTAAAAAATTGGGGTATAAATTACACACAGTGCAATTTTAAAATCTTGATGAATTATTTTTTGTTGAGGTGTGGTTGATTTGCAATGTTGTGTTAGTTTCTGGTGTACGGCAGGGTGATTCAGTTATACATATACATATATATCTATAATTTTTCAGATTCTTTTCCATTATAGGTTAATGGAAGATACTGAATATAGTTCCCTGTGCTATACAGTAAATAAATAAATGATAAAAGATATGTTTCAAACTCTGTACTTCACAGAGAATAACAAGAAACAAAATACAAACCTCAGTGATGGATCCACGACCACATGAGAATGTGTGTCATGATGAAGTTGGCATTTCAGATCAGTAAATAAGGGGTAGATTATTCAACAAATGGTGTTGGGAAAACTGGCAAATGATCTGGAAATAAAGAGAAAGAGACTAATGACTTTGGTCTTTTAGTTATTGCTGCCAATTCTTGGCAGGCGGTTGGACTACTGGGGTTTTCCCCAGAGTCCTCGTTCCCTGGTCTTTTGCATGCCACTATAGGGTACTTTCTAGGCATTCCAAAGAATAATCAGAATTAAGCCATTTGACTTCCTCGGGTGACTTAAATGGCTGTGCTATTGTGAAAGCCAAGAGGTCCTTCATACTTTGCCCTTCTTAGGTGATTGCCTTGCATGCATTTGATAGCATGGAACTAACTGCACATTGGATTCTTCCACCATGAGTTTGGAGGGGCTAGTGCATGGGCTGAGAAGGTTGGGAATCCCACATTACTGAGCAAAGGTAGCTTTCTATTGTCAAGCCATCATAAAGCCCTCTAATGCTGTCTGAGGACTCTCGTGGGGCTCCTCCAGCTATTCCACTGACTTCTGAATGCTCCAGGCTTTGAAAAGGCCTTCCAGAGAGCCTGCCTTCTTTCTGCATGCCCTCTCCCCCCATCCAGAAGGGATGTGCAAAATATTTATCAACTTTCATTGTGTCATTGGCACCATGAATGATGGAATATCCATCAGTCTAGAAACTAGGTGTAATTAACCAGCCAGACCTGTGCACAGTAGGTGAACATCAGCTCTTTCTGTACTAGAGACAGTCCTCCTACAATTCTCCCAGGAGCATTTCCCCCGAACTTCATTTTGTTTGAGGTGTTATAGTCTCTTTTAATTTTTTCCTCCTTTATCCCTTTGAATTTATTGTATGGTTGTCCTTGCCTTCTCTGACATGTCTGCCTGATAATAATTTTCCCAGTTTGATTTACTATGCAAGTCTCTTGAGCCAGTACATTTCCGGAGGGGGCAGATGCCTCTACTGGCAGAATAGAGAGGGGTGTGGCCAGGCACATCTCCAGTGGCTTCCCCATTTTGGAAGCATCTTTCCCTTGCTTTTCCTAAGCTAGAGTTCTCTGCGAACAGGGCTTTCTCTCTTCCCCGTTACTCAAAATCCTCTCCCATTTGATTATACCACCATCTCTTAACCCTGAGTACCCATCTGGATGTTCTGTGCTCTGATGGCTGAAGAGCAAAGAGGATAAAAGTGAAGGATCCCACAGGAGATTCACAGCCAAGCCCGGACGTGGCCAGTACTCCTTCTGCCCACACTTCACTGGCCAGAACTCAATAGCGCGTCCTCTGACCACTGTCAGGAAGGCTGGGAAATATCATTTAACTTATTGACAGAAGGAAGAAGTGGGTTCATGAGCATCTCATCAGCCTCTGCCTCACTATTTTCTCCATCCTGCGGGATGTGGTACATGTTCTAAGTTGGAGACCAATCTGTGATAGTTCTTCTTTCCTTTTTATGTAAAGGAGCATTTCCATTGGAGTAGCCATGTTCTTCTTTTAGGCCGCTTGTCCTTAAACCTTGAGATGCATTGGAATTGCCTGGAGAGGCTTGTTAAAAACGCACATTCCTGGCGCCACCTCCAGGAAATTCCCTTTTTCCATGAAAGTTTGGAAATAATGTCAGCCAGAACGCGACAAAAGTTTTCAAAAGTTGCACTGGCCAAAATGTTAATGGTGGTTGTCTTTGGATGATGGGTGATTTTCTTTTTCTTTCTCTTTGTACTTTCTAAGTTGTCTGATATGAACATGTGTTATTCGTATAAATAGGAAGAGGAGAGGCTAATTTTTTAAAGTTAATGGACGCACCTTTCTTGTCAAGGCACTAACTTGACACAGTACTAGTGTCAACTAGTACACAGTACTCTTCTCTTTTTAAAAAAAATCCGTAAAACAATTTTAGCAGCTTTACTGAGGTATAATTTGCACTCCATAAATATGCCCCTTGTAAGTCGCCAATTTTTAATACATTTATAGAGCTGTGCAACCATAACCTAATTCAGATGTAGAACATTTCCATCATCTGAAAAGGTTCCTGCCTGCCCGTTTGCAGTCAACCCTCACTCCCACCTCAGCCCAGGTAATCATCGATCTTCATTCTATGTAGATTTGCTTTTCCTGGGTATTTCATGTAAACTGAATCATGCAATGTGTGGTCCTTTATATCTGACATCTTTCACTTACCATAGTGCTTTTGAGGTTCAGCCATGTTGTGACTTGTGTCGGTAGTTTCTTCCTTTTGATTGCCAAATAGTATTCCAGTGTATGACTACATAATATTGTGTTTCTCCATGCACCAGCTGATGGACATTTGGACTGTTTCTACTTTGGGGCTTTTATGAGTAATGCTTCTGTGAACATATGCCTACAAGTCTTTGTAGAGATATATCATTTTGTTTCTCTTGAGTGGACAGTTAGGAACTGAACAGACAGATCTTTTAGGAAGTTTAAATTTAACTTGTAAAGAAACGGCCGAACTCTTTTCCAAGTGGTTATATCATTATGCATTCCCACCAGTAGTGCTTTAAGATTTCAGTTTCTCCACAATCTCTCCAACACTTGGTATGTTCAGTCTTTTGGATTTTAGCTATTTTAGTAGGTGTATAGTTGTATCTCATTGTAGCTTTAATATGCATTTCCCTAATGACTAATTGTGTCGAGCAACATTTCATGTGTTTATTAACCATTCATATAGTTTCTTTGATGAATTGTCTATTTAATTACCCATTTTTAATTGGGTTGTTTGTCTCCTGATTGAATTATGGGAGTTCCTTATATTCTGGAGATAAACCATTTTTTCAGGTATGTAATTTGCCAATATTTTCTCTCATTCTGTGATTTTTTCTAACTTTCTAAACAATGTCTTTTCAGAGAAGACTTTTTAATGTTTAGTGAAATCCAATTTATTAATTTTTATCTTATGAATTATGCTTTTGATGGCCTATTTAAGAAATCTTTGCTTAACCAAAGTTATAAGATTTCTCCTGTTTTTTCTTCAAAGGCTTTTATAGATTTAGCTCTTAAATGTAGGATTATAATCCATTTTGAATTGATTTTTGTTTATTATCTAAGTTTAGCTAAGTTTAGCTTTTAAAAAAGTTTAAGTTTAGCTTTTAAAAAAATATATCTAAGTTTAGCTTTTAAAAAAATATATTGGATCTAAGTTTAGCTTTTAAAAAAATATATTGATATCCAATTGTCCCAACATACTTGTTGAAAAAACCATCCTCAAAAAGAAAACACAGGGCTTCCCTGGTGGCGCAGTGGTTGAGAGTCCGCCTGCTGATGCAGGGGACACGGGTTCGTGTCCCAGTCCGGGAAGATCCCACATACCGCGGAGCAGCTGGGCCCGTGAGCCATGGCCGCTGAGCCTGCGCGTCCGGAGCCTGTGCTCCGCAACGGGAGAGGCCACAACAGTGAGAGGCCCGCATACCGCAAAAAAAAAAAAACAACGAAAAGAAAACACAAAACATTGGGATAAAATATACATAGCAGAAAATTTACAATTTTGGCTAAAATTTTGAGTGCAAAATTTTCTTAGTGTACTTTTAGTATAGGTTGTTTTTTTTTTTTTTAGCGTGGTTCATTGGCATTAAGTGCATTCACACTGGGAGTTCCCTGGTGGTCCAGTGGTTAGGGCTCAGTGCTTTCACTGCCATGGGCCTGGGTTTGATCCCTGGTCAGGGAACTAAGATCCCACAAGCTGCACAGTGCAGCCAAAAAATAAATTAAAAACAAAAAAAGTGCATTCACATTGTGCAACCGTCACCACCATCCACCTCCAGAGCTATTTTCATCCTCCAAAACTGAAACTCTGTACTCATTAAAAACCATAACTCCCCATTTCCCCTCTCCTCCAACCCCTGGCAACCACTATTCCACTTTCTGCCTCTATGAATTTGACTATTATAGGTACCTCATATTAGTGAGACCATGTGATATTTGTCCTTTTGCGATTGACTTGTTTCACTTAGCATAATATCTTCAAGGTTCATCCATGTTGTAGCATGTGTCAGAATTTCCTTCCTTTTTATGGCTGAATAATATTTCATTGTATGTATAGCACATAGTTTATCTATTCATCTGTTGATGGACACTTGGGTTGCTTCCAATTTGAGGTTATTGTGAATAATGCTGCTATGAAATAGGTGTACAAATATCTGAGTCCTTGCTTTCAATTCTTTTGAGTATATACCCAGAAATGAAATTGTTAGATCATCTGGTAATTCTATTTTTATGTTTTTGAGGCACCATTATATTGTTTTCCATCACAGCTACATCATTTTACATTCCCATCGGCAGTGTTCCAACACATCCTCACCAACACTTGTTATTTTCCATTCTTTTTTAAATATTCAGGTCATCCTGACGGACCTGATTTAAAAAACATTATTTTTGGCTCCCTCATTTTTAGAACACTTTTTCACATGGCTTTGAGAAGTCCAAATGGCTGTATTTCTTACTACCTGCTGGCCATCCTTCTTAGTCTCTTTGGATGTATTCCCCTCTTCCCCCTGACCTAGCACTTTAGACTTCCTCTATGCTCCATCCTTACACCCTAAAGAATTTTAAAAATCAAAACCCATAAATACTGTATCACTTATATGTGGAATCTAAGAAATACAACAAACTAGTGAATATAATATAAAAGAAGCAGGCTCACATGTTTAGAGAACAAACTAGTGGTTACCAGTGGGGAGAGGGAAGGGGGGAGGGGCAACATAGGGGTAGGGAAGTAAGAGGTACAAACTATTAGGTATAAAATAAGCTACAAGGATATATTGCACCACATGGGGAATACAGCCAATGGTTTATAATAACTATAAATGGAGTATAACCTTTAAGCGTTGTGAATCATTATATTGAACACCTGTAACTTATGTAATATTGTACAGCAACTATACTTCAATAAAATAAATTAAAACCCATAATTTTAATTATGAACACATCCTGAATTTACTTGACAAACTCTCCAGTCCCAATCTTCACCCCAAATTCTAAATGTGAATATACAGCTACCCGAACAACACTTCTACTTTCACCCCTAATAAGCTGCTGAGAGCTGAGATATCCAAAGCA